TCATCGAATTTTTATTTATTACAATCTAAAAATTACAAACGAAGTGGTACAATAATTATGGAAGTCACTGTATATATAGTTTAAAAGAGAACTTTTAATATTATCGTCTAACAACAATGTTAGACTTATTACAAGATCCATAAAGTGATCCTTAGTCTAGCGACCATTTCTCAAAGATATCACAACGTTCGATTTTAACGTTGGGAGAGAACCTATGTATTAGGGTGTTTATTGCCGACTTTTTGAAGGATTTTCTTATTAGAGAACATTTTCTTCACATACATGTTTATGTGTATAAAAAAGTTTGTAATATACATAATGATAAATAACGTTGTGGAATTGTCTCAATTTACTTTTAATAGTTTTAATTATTTTTGAGATGAAAATGTGAAAAGTAAAAAAATTTGAGAAAAGCCAATAAATTATACAATTTATACCGTAAGGGAAATGTCAACTACCCCCCGAATTTGCGTCACATTTATTTTTTTTTTTACGTAATTTCGCAGATGTATAATACTATATCTATTTTTAGTTTTTAGCCGTATTAATTCTATTAATAACCCGATAAAATTTTTAATTATTTTGGAAACCATGTGCGACCTCAAAATCGATCGTGTTTATTTTTTTTTTTTTAAAAGAATGTAATTAGAAAAATTATGTGAAGTTGATTATTTGTAGGCCGTCATAAATATTTAGCAGTGTTCTGAATTATTGTTTCATAATCGTATTATAAATCCGTATCCAAAGGATTTCATGACGAAGCTTCCAAAGACGGTTGACTAAATATTTAATTCAGATAACGAATAAACGACGAACTCAAATGACATCATTTTATTATAAATTTCGTCAAGGTCATTTAAAAAAATAGTAAATAATCTTATAATTACTGGATCAACCCGACGACATCAACCATTCATCACCTTTTAACCACCCGAACGATGATTCAATCCATCGCAATCGAATCAATAACGAAAAACCTGCTCTTTGATCGGATCAAATGATTATCTTCCGTGACCGATGGTATTGGAAAAAAAAGTTTTAAAATTGACGCGAAAAAAAGTGTTGAGTAGATGGCCATTGTAAAAATATTTACCTATTTTATATTCGTTGCTTTTAACATTTTAGAATAAAGTTTTTAAAAATTTAAATAATATTGTTTGAATACATTCATCTTGTAATTACTATGTAAATGAAAATAATTCAAATTCCAAGCTCACGTTCCTATGATTTTCTCTATTAGGTATGTAACAATGTGAAATAAACCTTAACATTCTTCTCCCCCCTCCCGATAATTGAAAATTGAATAAAGAAATATTTTAAAGGGATCGATTTGAAATTTCTAAGGTAAAGGAAGTACTCTCGTTCATCATAAAATGATTCAGGTGTATGACCTAATTGAGAAAATAAAATTATTTATTTATTTGGTTAAAAACAAAAAAATTCTCACCGAGTATTAAATTACTTTCAATACACTATATTAAATCTATCAAAATCTCTAATTGAACAAAATCATTTGAAAGTTTATTATTTTTTCATACTAAATTACAATTATTCAATTAATATATTTACCAAATTCTTGCATACGATAAACGATACGAAGAAAAATTACTAAATATTTTTTATAACATTTAAAAGTGAGTTTTAACTCCAGAAGGTTGGAAAAATATTTTTTCCGACTAAGCTATAAAAATAAAAATTGTTTTTAAAATTAGCATATAAATATATGAAAATAATAATAACAAAAAAAAAAAAAATTTTAAATTACTGTTACTTTCTTACTTCAATGTAACAATAAAATACTTAAAATTTGAACATTTAAAGGCCCAACTCATAAATTCCAATTCTTTTTGAATATTTTGTGTTTTATAAGTTTTTGCTTGATGCATGTTAATACGCGAGTTTGGTAAGTTGACGAAACTTCAGATTCTTATAAAAATCGTGTAACGTGTATTGTTAAACAAACTTCTAAGCCACCGGCCATTCAAAGATCGCGTCGCATTAATTAACAAAAAAAAATTTGTTTCTTTATATAATTCATTTCGCCGAAAGATGATTAGGCCAAAATATAAGGCATAGATTTCAGATATGGATTTGATAAAGATGAAAAATCAGTTATTATTGGAAAATCTTTGTCAAAAGAATGAGATATAATAAGAACAATGGTGATTTACATTTTGGCAAGGATGTTAATTCAACTTCACATAACATACTACTTTCGAATGACAAAATATATTGAATAATATATTATTTTGGTAAGTTATTGATTATTTGTTTTATGATTATCGGTAATCAAATATATTTTTCATAACAACATCTATTATATTTTCAAAGTGATGTAATTGGAACTTTGAAAGCTCAGTTTGATGTCATAACATTTTTCACAGTGAACAAATTAATCACTTTATACAAAATGAACAGACAACAAGGTTGTTTTCTTGGTGATTCTTATGAAATTTCCAAGAATTCGAAATAATTTTAGTTAATAAAAGGTCAAGAGAAATTTACTATCAAAATTCCATATTTAATTGTCATCAGATTCAACTTCAGGTAAACTAACACATTTCAAATACGAAATATTTAACCTAGTATACTCCATCTTTAGAGAAATGATACATTCAATGCTTGTTATTCAATTCATAAATCTTTGATGAAATCGCACAATTAATCTGGTATAAATTTCTTTAATATACAAAAGATGAGACTAAAAATATTTAATTCAAAGTTTGAGTGGTAATTTTTTTTTAATATAATTAAAAGACAAAGTCACTAGAAACTAAACCAGCTGGCGAATACTGGAGTAGATCAGTTCGCACGCGCGTGACGTTTTACATATTTGTATGACATAAATACTTAAATAATATCCGTGACACAATAATTTTGCTTATAAAAACTCCGGTTTCCGTTTCCTTGTAAAATAACTAGTCGTTACTGACGCGTAACCGTAATTCTATTATAACATTCTCCCTATATAATTTCATAATGACTTCAGCTTTACCGAGAGTTTCTATTGACAGTGTTCCTAAATTAAAACTTAAACAGCGTTGCGTTATTAGTAAAATGATCTTGAATAATTTTAAGTCGAATTTTGGTAAACAGGAAATAGGTCCGTTTAACGAGGTATAATATTTATAAATATATATTTGTTTTCTTGAAGATTTGCTGTTTCACGAGATTCTCTCTCTAATCAAAATTTATTTGTAAGTCATTTTCTGCTGTCGTCGGACAAAATAATTCGGGAAAATCAAATGTTATCGATGCGTTTTTATTTGTATTCGGTAATCCGGCAAATAAAATGAATCAAGCAAAATTATCAGAACTTATTCATTCATCACAGGGATGTGAAAATCTGAATGATTGCAGTGTTGATATATATTTTGAAGAAATTCTTGACTTGGTAAAGAAACAAATTAATAAAGTTTTAATTTCCAAAAAAAATAAAAAAAAAAAAAAATTTCACTTTAAATAATAATAACCCATGATGTTTAATAATATTAATAGCCTGGTTCGGATAATTATGAGATTCTAACTCAATCTCAATTGGTTATCTCGCGTCAAGCTTTTCGCAATAATACAAGCAAGTATTTCATAAATGGAAGACAAAGCGATTACATTGAAGTTACAAATCTTTTGAAAGTAAGGGGGATCGATTTGGATCATAAACGATTTTTAATTTTTCAGGTTCCCTTTTTACTTATTTTTCTTTTTATTTTTATTTAATGTTTTTCATCATGAGATAATGATTAATGTATTGAAATTATCAAATTTTATGCTTAATTTAATGATTAGGAAGTTGAATCAATATCACAGACGAAACATAAAGCACTAGCGCATGAGGATGGACTCTTAGAATATATTGAAGACATTATCGGAACTTTTAAATATAAAGTCTCTCTTGAAGAAGCAAGTGAAAAGTTTGAAACATTGGATGAAGACCAATCAGAAAAATTAAATTGCGTTAAAATAGTTGAAAAGGAAAAACAAAGTTTAGAGGTAGTATATTAGTAAATTGCGTTTGTAATCATATTAAATAACAATTATGATTCAATCCTTATTGAATTGAAAGGCCAAGAAAAAAGATGCAAAAGATTATCTCCGAGATGAAAACACGTTACCTTTGAAACAGTCCGCCCTTTATCAAAAAAAATTTCTAGAATGTAAGATTAATACTGAAATATCAACTAATGCTGTGGTAGGTCATTAGATTTAATAACTTATGTAGGCAAGCTAATTTAATATGGCAATTAATTTTATTTATTAATTCTTAGAATAAATTAAAAGATCAAATAAGAGAAGAAGAAGAAAAGCATAAGCAACTTGAAAAAGAAACAAATGAAATTCTAGCAGAATTGGCAAATTATGAGAGAGAGAAAAAGAAACACGCAATTTCTAAACAGAAGAAATTTACAATGGCAATTTCTAAAGTAGGTTTGATTTGTTTATATTATTTTGGTGCACAAATATATTCGAGACATACAATAATGTTTTTATTATAGGATCGTCATGGACTTTCGGAAGCGAAAACAGCAATACGATTTAATGAACAGAATTTGGAAGTAATGGTGGGCTTAGAAAAATCTTTAAAAGCCCAAGAAAAGGAACTTGAAAAAATCAGACAAATCTTAGAGGGTATGTTAAATCGATTATTTTAATCTAATTGTAATCTTAAATAAAGGCAAGTCAGAAGTTTATTCAAACCAAATTGAAGATAAGCAAAGAGAACTTGAACTTTTGTCAGAGAAAATTAATTCAATGTCAAAACAATCTGAGTATAATATATTAAAAGAGAAAGTTTGATTCAATAAATCAAATTCTTAAACAACTAGCAGAAGAAGATGCTGTCACGTTTAGACTTAGAGAATCATATTTGAAAAAGGTATTATTATAAGGCATCAATTGCTTTTTTTGTGATCATTTAATATTAATAAACTGCTTATTTAGAAACTAGAAATCTTATCTATAAAGAATCAAATTGATGACAAGAAACTAGAAATTCAACAATTGGACACTGATATAAAGGTTATTATTTAACATTTAAATTAATATAAGTATTTTAAGATTCTCATAAATTTCTTTTTTACTTTTAGCATTACCTTAGTAAGTTCAACTCTATTCTTGCCGATTTTCGAGAAAGAGATGATGAGACGAAAAAACTTTTAGAAGCTTCTCGGTCTAGAGAACAAGTTCTTAGCAGCTTGATAAAACTCAAAGATAGTGGTCGTATAAAAGGAATATATGTAAGTTCGTCGGAGCTGAACGTTACATAATTTGTTTTGCTCATTTTAATTTTATATTTAGGATCGTTTGGGTAACCTTGGTGTCATTGATGATAAATACGATGTCGCGATTTCAAATGCTTTTCCTGCATTGAACAGTATCATAGTTGATTCTGCTGAAGTTGGACTAACTTGTATAGAATATCTTAAAAGAAACAATTTAGGTTACGCCACGTTCATTCCTTTGAAAGAACTTCCTACCATGGACATGCGCCCGATACCAACACCCGAAAATGTTCCCCGACTTTTTGATCTTATTAGGCCGAAAGATGACATGTTTATCCCAGCATTTTATAATGTGTTACAGGATACTTTGGTTGCCCAGAATCTAAAACAAGCTATTAGGATCGCATTTGGTAAAACTCAATGGAGCGTAATGACTTTAAGTGGTGAATTGGTTGGAAAAAATGGCACTCTAAGTTTCGGATCCGACATAGTATCCGAGAAAGAAGAAAAATTGAAAAAAGAACGATTCTACTTTGAAATGCAGAAAGAATTTAATGAAAAATTTAGACCTTTACAATCTAAACTTCAAGAGAAAAAGGATCAACTTTCTAAATTAAAGTTTGAACTATCGAAGATAAAGATGGAAGCTAATGCTTGCGCAAAAAGGATTAAAATAGCCGAATACTGTTAATAAAATTAATAAAATAATATGAAATATATTCAAAAAAACAATTTAAAAAAATTTTTTAAATAAATTTATATAATACCGTACTTAAAATTATTATTATGCCTTTTCCTTCTTCCTAAATCAATAGTATTGTATTACATTTGCCATCTTTGTCATGGATCTTATTGCTAAACCAATCCTTTATAACATTTATCCAAAAATGTTAAACTTGATATATTTCCTATTTGGATCTATATTTGTTTCGCATCCTTCATGAAATTTCACCTCTCTAATATTAAGTCTCACCAGCTATAACTAAATTTTACCAATACCACATAAAAAATCTTTCTCTTTCTTTTGACAACAAGCAATTAAACATCCTGTATACTTTTTCAACTTATAACATGGTAAGAATGCGGAGGATGAAGAAACAAAATAAGAAACAGATCTCCGGTATATTAGGTGCAAGATGTTGAGAATGATTACGGTCACGCTTGTATAAATATCAGAAAGCATCTTGAAGGTATCGGAATGCTAGCATGAATAGATAGCAATAGACAAAATCATTATTAATTAGAATTAAATCAATAAATTTCAATATACAAAAGAAAAAAAAAAAATTCCTACCAAGTGATGGATGGATTATTGTGTTTTTATCTTCGGCAATCCAAGTACCCAATTTCTAGATCATCTTATATTATATTGTCGCGAATAGATAATCTTTGTTGCTGATCTTCTTCTATTAAAGATTTGAATCTCGCAACTGGATGAGAAGTGTTTTCAAATCTATAAATGGTTCCTCTTGCATATCATTAAAAATGATATCAGCAGGATCATAAGCAAAGATGTTATATTTAGATTTTGAATATCATTATTTTTCGTAGACCTTCATAAATGTATATAGAAATAGCATCTTTACAACCTTTGTCTTTTGTAATTCTTGAATCACATCTTGGTATATTTGATATGAAACTTCATCATCAAATTTAAAGAAATGAAAGATAGATTTGTTTTGTAATAACCATAATTACACAAGTGTATGATTCCTTTAGGTTCACACATGTGTATTATCATTTTTTCCATCAACAAAATATTCATTTTTAAACAAGTTTGGATTTTTGTAGAATGTATTCCAACTCTAATAGCAAAATGACAGGAAGACACCGGAACTGCAACACTTTACTAAAAAAAAAAAATAAATAAATAAAAAGAATCATAAGTTTTGGTGTAAAAAAAAAAAAAAAAAAAAGAGGATAAAATATTAGAGTTAATAACCCGTTGTTACCTTTTTTTCTAGAACCTTTCTTTATCGACAAAATATTTACATTTAACTCGAGATCATCGTCAAACTTATTATTATCTTCACTTTGTTCTAAATTTCCAGATTAATTGTGCGATTTCTGTTCAAGTGGATAATGTACAAATTCGAAACCTATGAATTCATTAAAAATTTAAAACAAATTCTAACCGATAGAATATAACTTTACCTTCAAACTTTCTTATAATAACTTTATTTTGTCGATATTATTGAAGAAAATTTTTCTGACCCTTACTTTATCTTTACACCAGAAAAGTTACCATTTAATATCATGATTATCTAATCATCTCTTCAATAACACTTTCATCAAATTATGATTAAGATGATGAAAGCATTGAATTTATCATTTTTTTTAAAGATGGAGTTTACGAAGTTAAATATTTCGTATTTAAACAAATAAAAAAAGATTTGTACATGTTAATAGTTTACCTGAAAATGCAACTCGAAAGCATTTTGCACTAGAATCGCAGTGGACATTTATAATGGATGGTGTCAATATAATACGCTCAATATTCTGTCGATTAAAGAATTATGAAGCTTAGAATGGATTGTGACAATTGTAAATTGAGTAAAAGGAATAGCCCGGTGTATATTATAGTACCTCTTAATCCTGGGGAGACTATTGCAGCCAACGAATATTTCTCCAACGAACTAGACAGAATATGTTACAAGAATTAGGAAGATCGCAATAAAGATTAACATTTTTTGCTATTCTCACATCAGTTGATCTTATCACATCATTTTCTTGAATTCAATAATGCCTTCGCTCTCTTAAGAATAATTTCAATGATTTATGCCTGGATTCCACCTAAACCTTCGTCATTATATACATACTGTTAACTGAGACATTAGTCCAACGAGTCTGAGTACACTTAAAATCCCTAGTCCCATCCAGGGTATCGGATATTAAAATTCGACCTAAAACAAATAATTCCTATAAGATATAGATGATGCTAATGTATTGCTCTGAATTACTGGAAGACAAACCGGATACCTTTTATGCATCCTTCGCCTCCATCCGAAACTTTGAATAATACTATGCGACAATAATCTATCGCGACGCGATCTTTGAATGGCCGGTGGCTTAGAAGTTTGTTTAACAATACACGTTACACGATTTTTTTTTAATGTTTACCAAACTCGCGTATTAATAATGTTGAGCGTCAGATGACGATTAACGTCAGATGACGATTTGCGTCAACTGACAGATGACTAATGCTGGCCAAATCTTCTTAAGACATTATAAAATCGGCCCAAAATAGACCATAATTTAGGCCAGTCGGCATCTGACGCAAAATCGTCATCTGACGCACAACCATTGAAAGTAATTTAATACTCGGTGAGAATTTTTTTGTTTTTTAACCAAATAAATAAATTATTTTATTTTCTCAATTAGGTCAGTACACCTGAATCATTTTATGATGAACGAGAGTACTTCCTTTACCTTAGAAATTTCAAATCGATCGTGAATGAGCTTTAAAATTATTCTTTATTCAATTACCCTAGATTTTCAATTATCGGGAGGGGGGGAGAAGAATGTTAAGGTTTATTTCACATTGTTACATACCTAGTAGAGAAATTTGATAAATTCCGTGAAATGCGATAAAACATTTGACTTTATTGAACTTGGGCAAAAATAAATGTTTTAGACAGGCATCTTTATTTAATAATAAAATAATAATACACCAGTATATGATACAAACAAGTAATATACTAAATCCTAAAATACGATAAACGATACGAAGAAAAAATAACTATTTTTAGCGACCTATACTATTATTGCTGTTGCTATTCGCATAAGACCAGCGTTAACATTTGTTGATTGTAAGACGAAAATCATCATTTGAAGATGTATTACCCTTTTGTTCTTCAAATGATGTTCTCCAATTTCATATTTTTTCCGTCTATGTTATAAAAATAAAAAGAAGCCATGATCGATACTTCAAGATATTCGGAAATCTTTCATATTGTTTCATTTCCGACTCTGATGATGACATCACAATCGATTGCCATCATCAAGAAAAAGTTGAGTATCATCCTTTTTTTGATGGAAGGATGACGTTCAGTCATCAGTTGTAAAGCCTTTAAATCAAAATGTCCTCAGATAATTTCGGAAAGTTTTCGACGGACATTTTCGTAAAAGATTGTAAGAAGAAATCTTTTAGGCATTCCTTCTGTTCGTCAACCGATTTATATACATTAAAGGCTTTTTTTGAAGTATTATTTTTAAAATTTTGTTTTTTAATACCGTCAACTTGGGTATTTATAAGTGTTATATAAGTTTTTGTTTGTTTTGAAAGAAGCATATTAGTTTGCAGTTTTGGTAGGTAATTATGAATTTGAAAGCAACAATAGTTTTTAAACATTTTTTTTTTTTTTTTTTTTTTGGAACTTTCCAAGATATGAATTATTTTTTAGGTGTATCGTTAAACAAACTTCTAAGCCACCGGCCATTCAATAAGTTCCTTTTTTGGGGGACAACAATTTTTGTAATAGATCATAGATTATCGAACAGAAATATATGAAAAAATCATATGAAGGAACGCAATTTATTATTCAAAGTTTCGGGGCCGAATTATGATCGAAAGAAGCATAGAATGTAAACGGAATTTCTTCCATGTAAGTACCCATTTTTCCACAATGATTAATCCATTGGTATCTCTATATATATTACGAATTTTTAGTTATTGAAATTATTCTTAGGTAATCTTTCATCAAAATTAGAAGTTGCCATGAGCGAAGGCATTATTGAAATTCAAGAATTACGAATAAAGTGATGTGTATGTCCAAAACCATAATGTGAAAATTACAATGTTATCTTTCCATCTAACAGAAGCTGTCGTCAGTACAATAGTCTTCTAAATAAATAACCACGATGAAAAGGTAATCAGATTATTCCGTCTATTTATCTAGGCATTTTATAAACGTTAAATTACAATTTTCACAAAGCTTTTTGACTGAACTTCATAATTCTTTAGACGACAGAACATTATATTTGACATCGTCCGTTATAAGTGTAACCACTGCGATTACTAGCAATGCGTAAGTTAATGACGATTTATTAATTTCGTAACTTTAGAAGCATGGGTCAGAGCGCGCTTGTGAAAATAGATAAGTGACAAATCGAGCATTGAGATTTTGCGAGTATTGTAATTCAGACTTTATTAAATTTCTTTCACGTTATGTACGGGATTAAACGTGAAGCACCAAAGCACGACTCGAACAGAAATAATTTCTAGTAGGAGTAGTGTTATTATATTATTTTTGAAATGTTTATTAATTTTATAAAATAATTGGAAAATTTATAATCCAAAACTTCTTAAATAGCAAAGGAAAAATTTCTTCACGTGTATTTTTTTTTTTTTTTTGAAAAGTTATGGATCTTGCAGAATATCTAGACAATAAAAATTTTCAATTGCGTGCTTGTTGCGAATAATGATTTTGAGATAATTTTAATGCATGTTTTTTATAATGAGAAAAGAAAAAATATATTAAAGTTTGAAACAAAAGGTTTATTGACATTACATAAATATAGTAAGTATATATAAAAATGAGCATTGTGTAGCTCGTATCCAAAGGTGCTTGGTTACAAATGGTCTCTTTTGACCCGTTTTAGTTGTGGTGTAAAAATATCTTTTGTGTTTACAAAATTGCAAAGGTGAGACGAGTTTAGAAGATTGTCCCTTTTTCCAAGGCTTCAAGAGTCCATTCTCTTTAAAAAAGAAAGAAGAATCGCAACAGTGGGGAAAGATTGAGGTATATGAAATTTATTCGCCCGAATTAAAAAAAGAAGCTCGCAGTTTAGTGCTAAATGGTGATGTGGAAGATGGTGGGCTTGTCGAGTTGGCACAGATATGGGAGGTGAAAAATGGTATCAATATGAAAAGGAGATGGTAAAAAGCCTGATAAGTTTGAAATAAAGGATATTAAACCCGAAGAACTAGAAGAAAAAAAAACGCGACCGCCAACAGATAAAAAAGACCGCCAGTCAACTGAGAAGAGGAAGAAAAAATCTCCTGAAAAATCCAGCGGTAAAAAGAATGTGGTAAAGATTCGACCAAAGTTGAAGGAAATACTAGTATAGGTCAGCTGGGTAGTGAAAAGGACGCTTATATTTTTGTGCCGGTAATAGTGGTTGTTAATGACGTTACTTTTGTGTTTCTATAAATCTATTCCAAATTTTCGTCATTAATTTTTCTTTATCATTCACATCTGATATTTCGTCAAGTGTCTATAATGATACAAAGATGAATTATAGGATAATAATAATAATAATTATTATTATTATTATTTAAAGTAAGCATATATACCTCATCGTTGAGCTGCTCCACCCAATGAGTACAAATATCATCCTCAGAATCATTTACATTTTCATCACAAAATGAATAGCATGAAGATGAAGATATGAGAATGATAAAATGTTTGTGAAGGACAGGTGACGTTGTGTATTGCTTTACAGGATACATAAATAGTTTTGGATTCCTGATACCTTCGTGCTTATCAATATCAAAAAAATCCAACTCTGACAGATCATCTTTGAATTAACAACAATTACGCGATCGCTTTGTGGTTGTTTGCCATTCTACAAAATGTTTGCACCTCTGATCGATTTATTATTGTGAAATAAATGTTATCAATTTATCAAAAAAAAAAAAAATTATTTCGAAATGAAATACCTTTATACCAAATTTCAAATGCATACGATTATTACGAAGATGAAGCATTAAACATGCTATCCTTAAAATTAAGGTTAATACACCATGGACAACGAAACCCTCTTACTCAACAACATGATATATAAAAGTCACGGGTGGATCATCATTTTAAATAATATTAGGCACGCGCTTTGACATAATAGATTTTTAAAGGAAGGTGTACTCAATTAAATGAAACCTCAATTTCCAATTTGACTCTATTATTAAACCTTTTTCACATGCAAAGTTAAGACCAAGTTCGTATTGATCATCATTACAAAACTTTCCATCATCTATAGCACACATTGAGTACACAGAGTTCAACGACCATCGGAACAATCAACAAGATTTGGTATTAAGGAAATATTTTTTCATTTCGCCATTAATTGGTTTCTTTAAGGATTCCGAATTAAAAGTGGCCATGATTGACTACAAATGGAAACCTATAACTATGTCCGGAGAATTGTCACCATCAAAATTAGTTGTGTAAGGTTCCATAGCCACAGTTTCTTTCGCAGAAGAATCCATCAATAAGGGGATAGTTGATCGATGAAGTAATTGAAAATCATTGTTTCAATTTACGTTTTTTCTAACATTTCTAAAAAATAAATTTTTTTTAAAAAATGCCTTCTAAGTTTGAACCCAAGGTTTACCAGAAGTAAAACTAATACTCAACCCGAGAAAAGAAAAAAAGCTGAAAGTCCTAAAAATAAGGAAAAGGAAACGTTAGTAACGTTTCTAGAATTTTTTTTTTTTTTTAAAAAAAAAAAAAAGCAAAGATTTCCGAGATTGATTTCCCGATCATTTTTAATTTAACGAGCTTTGTGCAACCATAACGTGGTGGCAGACGAATGAGATTCGATCGAAAATCGAATTTATCGAACGAATCCCACTTGTTCATAAATTCCGGATGATCGGCGAAATCTCCTGTAGATGAAACTTATGTTTAAGTAATATCATTCAAACGAAATAAACTTTTAATTTCATATACTTATTTAAATCACGTGATTTTTCAATAGACCTGAGTCATTCAATGGTCTATTGACGTCAGATCATGTTAAAAATGAACAAAAGGATAGTTCCAATAACCAGTTTTATAAAGAATATCGAACCTTTCATCATTTGAATAAATTTCCATCGGGTGTAAATATTATCACAAATTTGCGCGAAAATTAAGTTCTCGGTAAATTTCAATCGATGTATAATAGTTTCATGAGTATGGATGGCGTGTATTCATGGTTGAGGATTAGTAGATTTTACATATAATTAATTTAATTATGGTTTTAATTATTTTTTTCTATGATTAAGTGAACAAAGATATTCTTTATTTATACTGTGGACATGAATTTGTGTAACATATTTTCACTATGGTAAAGAAAATACAAAGAGATTTTGAAAACGTCAATTTAAATGTAAAGAAAATAACTTTTCGGATTTCCCATCTTTTTGTTATCAAATCGTCGTTTATGCAATGCGTGTTTGTTTCATTTACAACAAAAATTGAAGAAAAGGATGTTAAATGAATAAAAATTGGTGCATGAAAAATTAATTTATATGATAAATGCTTATTTCTTCTTTTAATTTCTAGTTGCACGTTATCATGAAATTTGATAATAATAATTATAATAAAATTATGTTAGAATGAGATGATTCAGAGCTTTTTTTTATTTTTTTTTTTTTGTTTTTTATTTTTTTTTTTTGCTTTTTTTTTTTTGTTTAAAAAAAAAAATCCTTCATAAATTCGTGTAAATTTCCCGACTTTTTGACCAAAAAGTTAATATAATAAAGAAAAATCCTTGGAACAGTAGGAAATCTACCATCCACTGTTGTTTACAAAATTTCCCGAAACATAATAATCAGGAACAGTATAATAAAGATTCGGGTTAAAGTACCTGGGATCAAAATGATTTGGATTAACGTACCCAGGTACGTATTGAGTCAGGTTCACAGGAATCAAGTCTTCAGGTCTAGGTAATGTCGTTCTACGACGCCTTCGTCTAACTTTCATACATTCTTGATTCTTGAAAATGAAAAATATCTTGTGTATTCTCTTATAAGCACGAGCGATGTCTCTGAACAAGTTTTTAACTTCATCGGATTGTTTAATCCAGGAAGTACTAACTTCGAATGGCGTAAACTTCCTTGCGGCGACATCCCTTAAGTACAATATATAGCCACTATGAGGATGAGGAGCTTGATCACATGAAAGATACATATTTAGAATAGGTTCTAATATTTGATCTGCGGTCAGATATAATGGAAATATAGGGCTGCAAAATAAAGGGAGTTCTCTTGCTTCAAGATAATGAAACATGTGGAAACCATGCGTATCAGACATTTGGAAATATAAAAACAAATGATGAAAGTTCTAAAATATTTTTTATTTTTATTGTAAGAAATGATTTGTAGAGGGGAAAAATGTTAAGAAATGATTTGTAGAGGGGAAAAGTGGTAAGGAATGATTTGTAGAGGGGAAAAGCCACTCCTTTATATACTTGAAAATCATGTAATAATAATAACCACAATTTCCTAAAGAAAATTCGTAACAATGTAAACCATTCATACGGCCGATAAAATTAATTAAATCAATTTCAAAAAAAAAGGATTACCGATAACCTAATTTGGATATAAAATATGACGAGCTTATCCAATCACATTGTTCACATGTGATCAAATTCTATGTTAACCTGAAGAATTTCTCAACATTGTCTCCTAAACAAGAAGAAATGTTTCAAAAAACTGAAACATATGCTTTATGTCGATCACTAGCCTTTATTTATCACACCACCTTATTCATTTTTACTGGGGATTTTTTTTTATGTTTTTACGGAAATCCTAATTATCACGCAACTTACATGGCACCTGATCGACATAAAATACACCGGACTCGGAAGAGATGCTGAAAAATTCCTTGTATGTTGTATAAGGAAGTATGAAATAAAGATTAATTTAAAATCTTGATCAAAAATTTATTAGAATTTCGTTATTGCCAAGTATAAAAAAAGGTTCGCGTATACATGAAACATTTTCTCATTTGTTACAAAATATTTAAGATATTGTCTCGTTCGGGTTTAACATTAATTTGTAATCTATTTATAGGATGAATTGACGATAGAAATTCGAATATATCATTAAAAGTTCAGCCTCTTCGTTTAAATAAAAGGAATTGAATATATTATATTATATATTTGCTGCATTATAAATATTATTTATCTAACGGATTTAATTTTATTGAATATTTAATTACCTTCCGCATCAGGGTTGTTTGAGTGATATTCTTTTGAATTTAATTGTTTCTAATTAGATGTAAGATCGTCATTAACGAATTATCAATGATTTTTGAGACCATTGACCTATTCAGTACCCTGGGATTTATAAGAGGCAATTGAGATGTCTCGTGATTTGATATAACTACCGAACAAGGCTCGGACACGTGATTTGTCTGCGGCTGATAACTCCGCAGCTCGATTTTGAATGTGGCGGATACGCTGATCCGTTTATGTGCGACTGTCCTAAATTTTGGTTAACGTGAAATGTGCAACTTTGGCAACTGGTACGGAAGATATATATTTGTCTTTATAAAGACTGCGAATCTCTACACCCGTAAAAAGTAACTAATTATAACGAAATGTACCCGGTATATTATTATTCATTCTGACACTTTTAAAGGATAAATAATTATCACAATTGTGGTACAAGTTAAAAGCCTATATCCCCCTGATTATTGTGATCTGTTTTTCCCACCCATTGAATTATTTATTGTATTTATATTTATTTCTACGAGTGAATTATTATTTGCAAGTTGAATAAATATCATTATACATTCATAATTTGATACTTTATCGTAATGGGTGAGTCAAACTCGAAATTTAAAACAATTTATTAACTTTAAAATTTTACATATAATTATTTAAAATTTTCAAAAATACAATTTTAATACTCAAAATTATCGGAATCAAATTCGTCAGAATCCGAATACATCGGAATTACAAAATTGTTAAACAACTTTTTTCTAATCCTTATTTGAATAAGGTTTTCTACCCGTGTTTCAGCGTCAGAATGTCCTTGAAGAGCCGATTTCTCGAGCCAATAGATGGCTTTATTTAAATCTTGTTGCACTTCATAATAAACTCCAACCTTGTACTGGGAATAACTATCACCTAATTTTGCGGCCACTTTGTATATTTTTAAGGCCTTTCTCATGTCAGCTGGGACTCGGATTCCATCTTCATAAAATTTCCCACAACTAACCAACTTTTCTAAACTTTCACGATCTCTCGATTTCGTCGCGATTTTTACCATTAGTTTTATGAAAGCTTGCATCTTTTTGTGAAGCGTAAGAAAAAAAAAAAAATTTTTTTTTTTTTGGTTTTTTTTTTTGTACTTGTACGCGAAAGAAAGTTTGATGTGAATTTTTATTTTTAATGATTAAATGTAATTGTGCACGAATGAGAGAAAATGAAATTCAAATTATAAAATTGTTTTTCATCATGCTTTACGATTAAAAGTGTGTAAAATATGTTTGTTCGATTTTTTTTTTTTTTTTTACATTTTTGTCGTTTTAATAGCGAAATCAATCTATTTAATGGAATTTTTTTGTTTATTACCTCTAACTAATTTATTCGTATATAATCGCATGTTTATAGGCAAATTTACTTATCACAATGCACCATGACTGTAATGGTTATTGTTTCCAATCAAGAAATACATATGAAATCACAAGCAGACGTCAAACAAAGAATTTATTAATTTTGTATTAATAGGAAATATTAATATTTGAATAGCTCTAGTCTTTAATTGAGAAAATGTAAATATTTTTTTTTTTTTTTTTTTTTTATGATGATGATTTAACATCACGCTTTTTCTTCTTTTTTGGGGGGGTTCCTGGGGTCGTGGGGGTTTCAAGTTCTTCGGTTTTTCTTTTTTTTGTTTTTTTCACTCTTTTTCTTGGTTTGAACTTTTTAAAATTCGACGGTTTTAAAATAAATTAATAAATTTTTTCGGTAAAAAATAAATATTTTAAACACTTTATTGTAAACTTACATTTGACGCATTTGAAAAAAATTCTTCAATAGTTTGTCCGTTGAATAATACTACGTGTTGGTCTTTACACGTATTGCTGCGTATCATGAAATAAGTTTTTAATGTCAGAAAGACGGATATGATTAATAAATGTAGTGCAATAAAAAATGTATGGCTTACCAATATTAAAAAAAAAAAAAAAAAAAAGTTTATAAGTTGTTTAAAAGTTTGTTTTGAGATGTAAAAGATTTTGTTTTTTTGTTGTTTTTGAAAGTTTGAAAAAAAGACACGACGTTTACATATTTTTTATATATTTATACGACATAACTAAGTCCATGAAGTATATTCAATTTCTCTGTCTTTGCTCAAGTCGTATGACATCACTACATGATCATGATATACAAAACGCGTATAGAGATGGGTGGTAAAAGAACAAATCCGGATGCAAATTATTTGATGCGCAATCGATCGACAGAATTTGTAATCCTATAGAATAAATTGGAACAAATTAGAACCTTTGTTAAGTCCGGAACGATCTTAACTAAAAAAATATCACGTTGACATTTGCTTTATCTAGGCGACTCAATCATTGAGCGGGCAGACGCCCGGAACACTTTTTCGTCGTACATACAGTAGTCCTACACTTCGTTCCGAAGTCCAACTTATTTAGCCATATATAGACATTTTCAGGGTAATTACTAAATTACATTAATTTTTTTATTAATTGTAATTGAGTATAATTTTTTCATTTAAATTAAATTTGCTACTTTAAAAATCAAATTAGAAATAAATTAATTCTAACATTGCCACTAGGGAAACGGGGACCCGTTGTTAAGTCCGGAACTTTATCTAAACTTTTGTGCAATTGCAAGAGTCAATCAATTATTGAGCGGGCGGACAACGGGACACCTCGTGTAACCTTATACCTGTACATATATAGTCCTTCACTTCGTTCCGGACTAATAAAAAAAGTCACTACCATGTGACATTTGCCCCGAATTATTTAAGGGTATTACAAATATTTTACGATGATCATGTGGTAGTTGTTAGTGATATTTTTTATGATGATGCTGGGGAAGATAACATTTAACTTAAGGATTTTTTGTGGAAATAACGTTCGTCATTCGATTGATCGTTTCTGCATTGTTATAAAATTGTAGAGATCCAATTTTCCTTTCCATGTAAAATCACTTTTTGTTTTTATTTATAAATTATATACGAAATAAACTCTGTTGCAAAGAAGCACAAGACAACAAAATATTAATAGAGACCTAATGAGAATAATCAATAGCAAACATCAGATTATCGATATGATGTATTCAAAATATCCAAATCCAATAATTGATGTTGCAGAGAAGGAAAGTGTTAGTCTTAAGCCTTTTTTTTTTAAATTCTCCATTTCTCCGAGTTTAATCTCGAAAGATCGTTTGGTCCTATTCATTACGAATCCAACAGTAATCAAAATTTCATAACTTTTCTGTCTTTTTTTTTTTTTTTTCTAAATAATGAATGTCTTATTTGTAATGATAACATAAATTTCTTTATTTTATTTTATTTATAGAGTCCATATGCATTTGCTTATTTTAAGTATCGTCAATCTTATGCTCAAGTCCTTAAAGGAGTTTATTTTTTTATAAAAAATTTTGGCGGGAAATTTTCTTGTGATGAAATATTAATTTTTGATTGGTACAAAATTGATCGTACCAAAATAGAAAAGTTAGTTTTGAGTACTTAAAAATTATTTTTTTTTGACTTCTTTTATAAATTTATTTATATAAAAATTCTTGAATTAAATCAAAAATATCAAAAAATATCTATTTTTTAGAATAATTATAGAATGAAAATAATAGTTAAAGATTTGTAATAAAAATGATTCAAATATATATAAATTTAGTAAATTTATTCAAATAAAAAAAGTTATAAAAGTTTAATTTTTTCAAAAAATTTAGAAAAAAAAAAAAAGAAGAAAATTAAAAAGGATCTTATAACATTAATCAAAAAATAAAATTATAAATATTAATCTACTGGATATCATATATTTATAAATCATTATCTAATAATATTTGTGATTATTATATCAATAATTTAAATGTTGAAATAAAAAAGAAGGTATAATGTTTATATGTAATTATGCTTTTTACCACAAATGTCTTTCAAAACAAAATAATAACTATAATTATTATTTATATAAAAGTGTTGTCTTTAATGTAAAATCCTATATAAAAAAAGATTAAATAAAGATGATAATATTAATAATATAGTTTATTAGATAATGAAATATTAAATAATGAAAATAAAGAAGAAAAAGTAATAATAAAAAAAAGTATTGATAGATTTTAAAAATACTTTAAATTTGATAAATTATAAGTTATTAATAAAATATATTTTAAATATATATCTTAAGCCTTAAATTTTCAGATCTCATTTAAGCAGAGATCTTCATATCGTTTTTTATTTTTATTACCTTTTGATAAAACGTAAGTATATTATACTTATTATTTATGTATATATTTTTATATGTTTCATATATTTATAATAAAAAACTGAAAGATTTACCACATACCATTATAGAAATATTGTTCATGTTTAATTAGTCCAGAGTGTTATATGTGATCACGTGGCGATGTCTAGCGCGTGACGTTTACATATTTATATGACATAATGACACTAATTTGTTTATTAAACTTCGGACTTTAAAACGGTTTCTGTTAATTCTAATTCTAGTCTATAATAACATAACATTCTTCCTTTATGGTTTTACATGATTTCTTCCTACACTAGAGTTTTCTACTGACAGTGCTCAAAATGGGTCTGTTCTACCAAAGACTCAAAGTTCCTTGGAGCAAGATGCACCTATACAACGATTTGTTATCAGTAAAATGTTCTTAAAAAGATTTTTAAGTCTTATTTTGGTGAACAGGAAATAGGTCCATTTCACAAGGTATAATATATGCTTGGAGATGTTCTGCGTCCCGAGATTCTCTCTAATCATTAAATTTTAATTTCAAGTCATTTTCTGCTATCGTCGGATCTAATGGTTCGGGAAAATCAAATGTGATCGATGCGCTTTTATTTGTATTTGGTAATCGAGCAAATCAGACTTATTCATTCATCGCAGGGGTGTGAAAAATCTGGATGCTTGTATATTTTGAAGAAATTCTTGAATTGGTAAAGAAAAGTTTTAATTTCCAAAAAAAAAAAAAAAAAATTTCACTTAAAATAATAACGCATGATGTTTATTAATATTATAGCCTGGTTCGGATAATTATGAGGTTTTACCTCAAGCTCAATTGGTTATCTCGCATCAAGCATTTCGTAATAATGCAAGCAAGTATTTCATAAATGGGCGACAAAGCAATTACACTGAAGTTACAAGTCTTTTGAAAGAAAAGGGGATCGATTTGGATCATAAGCGATTTCTAATTTTGTAGGTTCCTTTTTATTTATTTATTTATTTTTTGTTTTCATCATGTGGTAAATGATTAATGTATTGACATCATCAAAATTTTTACTTAAATTAAATGATTAGGGAGAAGTTGAATTAATATCACAGATGAAACCAAAAGCATTAAATGAGCATGAAGATGGACTCTTAGAATATATTGAAGACATTATCGGAACTTCTAAATATAAGGCCCCTCTTGAAGAAGCATATGAAAAGGGTGAAACATTGGATGAAGAACGATCAGAAAAATTAAATCGCCTTAAAATCGTTGAAAAGGAAAAACAAAGTTTGGAGGTGACATATTATTAGTAAATGGCGTTTGTAATCAAATTAGACAACAACAATGATGAACCTTATTGAATTGAAAGGCCAAGAAAAAAGAAGCAAAAGATTATCTTCGAGATGAAAACACGTTAACTTTGAAACAGTCCCCCTTTATCAAAAAAAAATTTCTAGAATGTAAGATTAATACTGAAATATCAACTAAGGCTGTGGTAAGTTATTAGATTAAATAACTTAATCTGACAAGTTAATTTAATATGTCAATTAATTTATTTATTAATTCTTAGAATAAATTAAAAGATCAACTAAGAAAAAGCATGTTCAGATAAAACAAGATAACAAAGATCTTGAAGATATATACAGAGATTCTGTTAATGTCTTTCAGGTAAAATAATTATAATATTTTACATATAAATAAATTTTCATTAACTTAATTATTGTATTTATTTTAATAAGCAACGTGAAAAAGTAGCAAATGAAATCTAGTAGAATCGGCAAATTATGAAAAAGTATATATTAACCTGAAAGAAAGAAAGAAACACGCAAATTCTAAGCAGAAGAAACTGACAATGAA